TGTGCGCTGTGCCACTCCTTTGTTCCCCTAGCTTGGCCCTCTGGGCACGTGTTAATGGACATCTCCCAGCCCTATGCTGGCCTACCTAACAGAACTTGCTTGCTTCTTGCTGGTTTTGTATTTTTGGACTCTAATCAATGGCCTGTCATATTGCCTGCTGACCTTGTGAGCTATTATCAGTTTACTGCAGCTTGCATGCCTGAGATTATATAAGTCTGGATAGGATACATTACTGCCTCATTCTAGTTCTAGTCTCCATCCAGTCTGCCATTTGATTTGCCACCTTGGAGTCATTGGACTCTATAGCCAAAAAAAAAAAAAAAAAAAAGTCAGCTAGAGAGCATGGTCCATAAAAATTGTGTCACAGATACAAAATCAAGTGTGTTAGGCTGGGTTCTCTACAGATGCAAAACCAGTAACTGTGGGAAACAGAACCAGGAAGAGAGGGTATTTGGACAAACTCTATGTTCATATGTTAAGGACTGGGAGGAAACCTTCAGGTTCATGGGTTGGAGATGTGTTCCACTCACATTCTCCTGTTATTCCCCACGATGTCCCAGGTAATAATACCAAGGTTTAGGTGGTACTTGCAATCACATGGTTGCAACGACATATACTTTTTGGTCAGCTGCTTGAAGGCTACTTATCTGAAGGTTGTCTGCCATCTAGAGCAATCAGGCCCTATTGTCTGTCTCCTAAGTAGGGCCCACTCCCTTCTGTTAAGGATCATAGATTGTTCCTCTGGAGAAGAGTTCAAAGACACCTAAAGTCAAGCCAGCTGAGGAATGACCTAGATTAGGCTACTATCTTAACTTTTAGCACCCACCCATCTTGTTACGTAGTTTCCTGTCACATGCGTGCCTCTAGTGCCTCCCTTTCCAATTGCATGTGTATGCATTTGGAATTGCACACACACACACACACACACACACACACACACACACACACACGTTATGTGTATGCCTCTAATACAACCCCTCCTGTTAATGTATGTGCTTACCGGGGCTTGCATGCCCAAGATTACATAAGTCTGGAGAGAATACGTTACTGCCTTATTCTGGTTCCAGTCTCCAGGAAGAGGCGAGCCTTTGCATGCCTTGTTTCTTTCTTTCTTTTTTGCATGCCTTGTTTCATGTCTCTTTAACTTACCTCTCAATTACACCACCACCCCTTGGACCCATTCAATTGTGGGGAGGATGGTCCCCCAAAACATACACACAAATAATAGGTAAGTCCTGTCTGGTTCAAATTTGTGGTTCACATAAGCTGGAGGCTTCTGACAGGGGCTGCCAAGCAGGAGCATGAGAACCACAAACTAGGGAGTGCAGAGACAGATGAATCCATGGTCAGCAAGCAGGTCAAGCTTGTGGCTGGTCTGCTGGCCCCTTTAGGATAACCTTGATTTGGCTTTCTCTAAAAAGGCACTCATCTAAGGCCAAGGAGGTCCTCACTGACTCCTATACTATTAAAAGCTCAAATGCAGACAGGTGATACTTCAATATATTTTTAAAAAGTGTTTGTTAAAAGGTAAACACTAGTTTAACTAGTTTTAATTTGAGTGGGCAGTAAAGTGGTAGTGATCGTTTTTAAAACTCTGCATTAATTCTTTCGTATTAAATTTTATTTAATTTTACAACGATGAATGTAATGACTTTTGGAAAGAAAAATATGATTTGAAAAAAGCTTAATTCCAATAATTCAAAAAATTTAATAGGAGTAGAAGCTAAAACTATATTGTTAATTTTTACTTATGCTTTTAATAATCCTTTTATTCGTGCACGGATTACTCACTTGCCATCATCTTAAGAGAGACACACAAACGTCCAAAATTTGATTACAAAAGAAACATGTGTTCAATATTTATTAACGTTTTCCTTTTTAAAGTATCTTAAAACAAAAGCAGCATTACTTTATTAAAATGAATTAGATGAGTGGAAATAAGGATGTTGAAAATTCAAATTATTTTCTCTCTATACTGTAAAACACACACACACACACATTTAATTAGATACCCGGATGTCTGAAAATTCTAGTCATTCCTTTTAGTTAAATCAGGATATTTCAAAGTGTGTTCACAACCCAAAGCTAGTACTAAGTACTCTAGAAGAAAAGGGTTCATAATCAAGTATGGGAAGCAATGGATTAAACAGTTCTTTTTGTTCTTATAGAAAGTCTCACCACCACCACTTTATTTGGCTTGTTCCAAGTGTATTTGGTTATACCAATAATGGAATTTGGTTATACACAGCCTCAGAAACAGTGGGGCAGGAAAACTCCAATTATATGTTGGAGATGATTATTTCTTGAATGTATTTTGGAAATGGCTGGCTTGAATTACTGTGTACTAAATATACAAATATTTTACTTGGTAGAGGTATTATGAATGTTTTATAGGGCAGAAAACAAATCTATGAAGTTTTCAGTGCTGTATATCTTTATGGATACATCTGCATACCATCACATCTTTCTTCTGAGAAGCAGCTGGTGGGTTTGAACTCTTTACGTTTTGGTTAGCAGCCAAGAGCCACCAAGCTTTCTAAAATAGGTCAATTCTGAGCCAAAGCTATAGGATATCCTGCATTCATTAGAGCAAATCACATTCAGTGGCTTTAGTTATGAACCCTAAGATGTTGAGTGAGTTGTGAACGACGTATAAAGTCTTTACCACATTTTAAACATGCAAAGGGTTTCTCACCAGTATGGATCCTTTGATGAGTACTAAGTTCTGATGCACGGGGAAAAGCCTTCCCACATTCCTTACATTCATAAGGCTTCTCCCCAGTATGAATTTTCATATGCTCAGTAAGGTGTGAGCCACGAATAAAGGCCTTCCCACACTGTTTACATCCATAAGGCTTTTCACCTCTATGAGTTCTCTGATGTTCACTAAGTTGTGAGCTATAAATAAAGGCCTTGTCACATTCCTCACACTTGTAGGGTTTTTCACCTGTATGAATCCTCTGGTGACAAGCAAGCTGTGCTGAACGAATAAAGGTCTTTCCACATACCTTACATTTATACGGCTTCTCACCATGAATTTTCTGATGCTGAGTAAGGGAGGCAGTACGGATAAAGGCCTTTCCACATTCTTTACATTCAAAGGGTTTCTCACCTGTATGAATTCTCAGGTGTTCACTAAGTTGTTTGCAGCCATTAAAGGCTTTTCCACATTCTTCACATTTGTAGGGTTTTTCTTTAGTATGGGTTCTCTGATGCTGAGTGAGGTTAGAATTACAAATAAAGGCTTTTCCACACTCTTTACATTTATAGGGTTTCTCCCCTGTATGAACTCTCAGATGGTAAGTAAGTTGTGAGCCACGAATAAAAGTCTTACCACATTCTTTACATTCATAGGGTTTCTCACCTGTGTGAATTCTCACATGCTCACTTAGTTGGGAGGCACATAAAAAAGCTTTCCCACATTCTTTACATCTATAAGGCTTTTCACCAGTATGAACTCTCTGATGGTAAGTAAGATGTGAGCCAAGAATAAAGGCTTTCCCACATTCCTTACACTCATATGGTTTCTCACCACTGTGAATTCTCTGATGGTAAGTAAGTTGTGAGCTAAGAATAAAAGCCTTCCCACATTCCTTACACTCATATGGTTTGTCACCACTATGAATTCTCTGATGGAGAGTATACTGTGAACTGTAACTGAAAGCTTTTCCACATTGCTTGCATTCATAAGGCTTCTCTCCTGTATGAACTCTCTGGTGTTCGGTGAGCTGTGAACCACGAATAAAGGCTTTGCCACACACTTTACATTGATAGGGTTTTTCATTAGTATGAATTTTCTGATGCTGAATCAGATCAGAACTACGTCCAAAGGCCTTTCCACATTCCATACACTCATATGGTTTCTCACAAGCTTGAGTACTTTGACGCTGACTACTGCCTGGCTTTTTGCTCATGGGTTTCCTACATTTCTTAACTTCAGAATGCTTTTCTCTATTATGAGTTTTCTCATGCTGAATAAGGCATGAGAGGTAGCTGAAGGTTTGTCTACAGTCCTTACAATTGTACATTTTTTCCTTCCTACGAATTGTCTGACCAAAGGTAAAGGATGTGTGATGACTTTGAATGGCCTGTTCTTCATAGGTTTTCACATGCCTGAAAAGTGTGCCCTGCGCTCCTAGTTGACTCTCAAGTCGGTCTCGGTACTCCATCATGTCTGCAGGATGACCACAGTCACGGTTCCGGCACAGAAGTCTTCCCATGATCTCCCCCTGCAGTGGTCCCATCTTCTCCGGAGGTGACCCCTGGGTCTCACAGCTGGATTCCAAGTCTGTAAGATAACAAGAAAGCAAATTCCTAGTGCTGTTTTCCAGAAGAAAGAAAGCTTTTACAATAGAAATGAAAACAAGTCACATAAGAATAGAATGGTTTTGTGTAAATTGAAAGGGGGAAAAAAAAGCACAATCAGAGACAATTTTCATACACAAGAATTTTAAAAGACGGAAATTTACAGCCAAGCCCCTCATGGGATTTGACTCCTTGGTTTGGAGGTTTAGTCATGGTTTTATGGGACACTCAGCTCATTGGTACAAAAATTTTTAGTGCTTATGTTCCTAGTTCAAATTCATGGACTACAGACTTTCTGAATCCATGGGGCCTTGAGATTATCTTTACACCTTATAACAAAAACATCTACCGAAATATTTTTAAAAACACCAGTAGTTAAATAAATAAATACTAAAAAACGTCAGCCTTGAGCACTGAACTATCTTGTTAGGTGCTACTGAGATGGTTTCAACTAAGTGACCCAATGTACAACGGAAGGCAACAGTGCTCATCCTCAAAATCGTTTCTCTATTTTATCCATTGTGGCAGATACTGTGTCAATCCACCTCCTGGAAGGTCTTCACCTTTTAAACTGCCCTTCTATTTTACCAAGCAGGTGTCCTTCTCAATAACTGGCCCCTCCTGAGTACATGACCAAAGTAGGTCCCACACGAATCCCATCGTTCTTGCTTGTAAGCAGTCTTCGGGTTGTACAGAGGTCTCTGTTCTGGCAGTCCTGGGTATATTCACCATTCGCTGACACCACAGTTCTAAAGCATCAATTCTTTTTCATTCTACCTTATTCATTGTCCAACTTTTAATTGCACATCAGGCTATTGAAAATACCATAGGTTTGGGTCAGGCACATTTTAGTCCTCAAATTGACATCTTTGTTAACACTTTAAACAGGTCTTTTTCGCAGATGTGTCCAATATAATCTATTTGACAACTGCTTTCATGGGCATTGGATTGAGTCTGAGAAAAATGAAGTCCTTAATAATACCAACCTCCCCCCCGACCCCATTAAATCCTGATGTTGCTTATTAGTCTGTGTTATTTTGGATTTATGTTTAGAGCTTGTTGCATTTATGTGAAAGTAGGGTTGGAGTGCAACCTACCAATTAGGTTACCGCCTAATGATGCCCTCTTAGAAGTGTGGTCTTTTTATAGGAGGCGTTGAGAAATGGCCTTTCTTGCTTAGTTGAAGGCCATTAAGACTCTCAGCCTTGAAACGGCTGAGAAGTTTCAAGACCCAGGTGTCAGTATCTGCTGTTTGCTTCTGCGGCTTGACATTGAGACTAAGAAAAAGAACAAGGACGTATGCGAGTTCTGGGAAATCAGGATGGTTAATTTTCTCAAGGATGCTTGGTTTGGAAAAACATAGAGTTGTTGATGTGTATCCAATGTGCTTGCTTAACAATGAGAAAAATATAACCCCGGGTTGTTTCTGCATGTATAAAAGGAAGATGTAGAATAAACTCGGGGCTTCAGTATTCACTGTTGCCCTCCCAATACTTTCTGTCTCTCTTTTTTCCCTTAATCCTCACTCCCCCTTTCAGGACCGTTCGACTTGTTGGCAGGCTCCGACATTGCTTGCCCCTCTTTGCCCTCCTGCTTGCCTGAATTATGTGGCCTGCTGATTCTGGGAGCTTCAGTACCTTGCCAGGCTCTGGCCAACCTTGGATCCACATGACTCTATACTACTAGTCTATGATCCTCCTGGATCCCTCTTTTGCTTCATTGGCTGGCAGCTGCATGGGTCTGGAGGGGCTCTGGTTAGCATCTGACCCATAGACTTGAGTTGGGCTGGGCTGGGTTGCTTTCTCCATATTAAATTTCTTCCTTTACATAAGTAATTATTATACATATATGAGTGTTCCTGGTTTAGTTTCTCTAGAACACAGCCCAACAGCCAAGTTGTGAAGATTTTTTGCTTTCTTTATGTTTAGATCAGAGGTAATTCATATTGTCATTGTAGTTTTTAATCCTCATCGGGAAGTGCTACAAGTTCCCTTCACTTTCAGTAGGAAGATTGTGTCGCTTGTATATTGGAGGTCATTAATGAGTCTTCCTGTATCCCTACCTCAGCTTTCTTCTTCATACAGTTCTTCTTGAATTATTTGCTCAGCATAGATATTGAATAATTATGGCGAAAGAATACAACCTTGATCTACATCTCTTCTAATTTCCAATCACACAGTATGTTCTGTTTGAACAACTACCTCTTGGTCTGTGTATAAATTTGACATGATCGCAATACATATTATTTACAATATCATCCATAATGCATTAGGACCACACAGTTAAATGTCTTTGAATTTTGTTAAAAACAAAAAAAACATCTTTAAGTTTTCTGGTAATTTCTACTTTCAGCCAAGATCTGAAATCAATAATGGTATCCCTCTTTCCACGACCTCTTCTGAATCTAGCTTAAATTTCTGGAAGTGCACAGTTAATATACTTTTGCAACCAATGTTGAGTTGCCCTCAGCAAAATTTTACTCATGTGTGAAATTAATATTATTTGGTAATTTCTGTTGAATCACCTTTCTTTGGAATGGGTACAAAGTTGGATCTCTTCCAGTAAATAAGAAAGATAGCTGTCTTCCAAATTTCTTAGCATAAAGAAGGGAGTGCCATAAGGGTTGCAACCATTTGGTGAAATATTTCAATTTGAATTCCATCAATTCCTGGACCCTTTTTGTCCCTTCCTACAGTGCAGCTTGGATTTTTTTCCTTTAATATCATTGGTTCCTGATCATATGTTACTTGCTGAAATGATTAAATGTTGATTCATTCTTTTTGGGGTGATTCTGTGTATCCCTCTTCTTCTGATTCTTGTGTACGTCAATATGTTCCTCAGAGAATTCTTTAATGAGCCTTGAGTTTTCCTTCAGATCCCTCTCTTTAAGGAATGCCAAGAGTGCTCTTCCCTTTTGTTTTCTAACTAGGTTTTCTTAAGTTTGTTTTAAATCTTCTCCTTTGCTTTTGTCATATTTTCTCCCACGCACTTTAATTTATTTTCTCCCACGCACTTTAATTTATTTTCTCCCACGCACTTTAATTATCTGTGTTCTAGAGCCAGTTTCAGAGTTTCTTCTGACATTCATTTTTGTAGTTTTTTTCTTTTCAGTTCTTTTAAAGGACCTTTAGCCTTCTTCACCTGTGATGTCCTTGATATCATTCCACAACTCAACTGGTACTGGGCCATTCATGTTCACTGTGTCAAATCTAGTCTTGAAATGGTCTCTCAATCTGATGGGATAGACTCCAGGTGGGATTTGGGCTCTCATGGACTTATTTTCATTTTCTTCACGCTTCTCCTTGACTGTGGATATGATCAATTGGTGGTCTGTTACACAGTTGATGCCTGGTGTTGTTCTGACTGATTATACTGAGCTTCTCCATCATCTCTTCATGTATGTACTCAATTTAACCCGTTTATTATATCCGGCAAAGTCTGCATATATAGAGTTGTTGTGTCTTTGAAAAAGGTATTTGCAATAAGTTGTTGGTTTTGCAAAATTCTATTGTGTTATTTCTACCACTGTTTCTATCAGTAAGGCCACATTTCATAACTACCGATCCTTTTTAGGAATAATGTGGGTGACACATTAGGCTACCAATCACAAAAAAGGTCAGCAGTTTAAATCCATCAGCTGCTCCTTGGGAGAAAGACTAGACTTTTTGCTCCCATACCAATGCAGAGCCTTAAAAATCCAGAGGGCAGCTCTACTCTGTCTATAGGATCCCTACTCTGTCTATAGGATCCCTGTGAGTTGGAGTTGACAATGGCAGTGGGTGGTTATGGTTGGTAGTTCTTTATTTCCAAATTTCACATTGCAATCACTAGTCATTATCAATTCATCTTGACTGCTTGATTGAGCAATGCCTTAAATGATATGATCTCTGCTTATTTCCCCACCTCCTACTTTCACTTACAGAGAGTGCAAAATATTACTCTTGCCATATTGACCTCCTTTCTGACTCATAAATAAAGCTAAGTCTTTGCTCTGGACCTTTGTATTTCTCTTCCCTTGATTTTTCCAGAGCTAATTTCATCCATGTTGCAGTTCAACTGTTGCCTCCCTCTACAGATAATCCCTGACTTTTCTACACAAGAAGACAGTAAGGTCTCAACAAACATTTGCTGGTTGGAGATACATATCCCAATTCAAATGCAAAAAGAGAGCAACTGGGGCCCCCCTCAAAAAAAAAATCAATTTAAAGAACAGACTCTCCCTTGAAGGGATCAACAGTTAGTCCATAATTAAAATAAAAGGGGATTGTATAAGACAAGCATGGTTAATGGGAGTTAAGAGAGGGTCTGGGGGGCTCATGTTGCCATACTTTTGCATTCTAATTAGGTGTCAGGCCTTCTTTCCAAAAGCCTTTGAGGGGAACCTGACACCAACATCTTAAAAGTGCAGCCACCTCATAGCAGCTTCTGCCCTGAGTGGCCAGCCCTTATTCACCTGAGGTTTCTCTTCTGGGCAAGGCTATCACCACCGTCTTCGGAGTCTTGCCTTGCTTCAGTAACAAACACATATCTGATGTAGGGACTGAACAGCCAGCTTAAAAGAAAATAAATGGAACACAGTTAAGCTATGGCATTACCAAATTCATATCCAGTACATTGGTCATCACAGAGGAGAGGCTTGATAATAACAGATGTCTTCAACTTTGAAGGAAATGAAATAGTAAGGGACACAGTGGAACTGTCTATTGCTATCATTGTGAAACATAAGCCTTTATTGATGGAATGGATATAGAAACTTGCAATTAAGGAGGCAGAGAATATGAGGGCACATTGTGACAATTGTGTAAGGCGTCCTTACCTAGTGACAATACGTTTTTATAGTTCTCCAACATCACATCCCTGTATAATTCCCTCTGAGCAGGGTCAAGGTATTCCCATTCCTCTTGAGAGAAGTCTATGGCCACATCCCTGAAAGTCACCAAACACTGAAACAACAAATTCATTCATTATTGTGAAAAATGGTAATGATTTTGAGGTGAAAAGAAAAAAGGTGACAGGTTATTGAGAGTTGGGGTGACACAATCCATTATCTAGAAAGGCCTACTAATAATGAAAAGAGTCAGATGAGAAGTTTTCTGTTTAAATAAATATTGCTTAAATCACACAGCACCTTAAAATATCAAATTCTCACTAGATAATACATAATAAAACAAGAGTTCTTCCCTTCTTTTCTCCTTGTAACTAAAAAGAGAAAATTGATGAAATCTTTACAGATAATTATCATTGAACTGCTAGGCTACAAAACAGAATTGAGATATATGTTTGTTTGTTTTTGAACAGTCAGAATAATCAAGTATGACAGATAGTGAAGAAAGTTAAAAAGACATTTAGAGAAAAAATGAGACACTGCTACTATCACTCACGGGAATAGGATAACTTTGGGAACAGATTTCTTATAGGGTTAAGCAAGGCAGAACATTCTGTTAATAGATAAATGTGGTGTTCATGTCACATAATAAAATTATTGTGCTTCAGGAAGGAGAAAAGAAACAGCAACTCACATGGGGCATGGTTTGTAGAGGTCCGAATTGATCAATTTTCCACTTTCTTCTTCTGAAGATATTCAGAGTCCAGGGAAACCAGAGATGGAGAAGGAAGAAGAATTTATGACATTAGACTTACCACAAAGTCCACAAACTGAACAACTCAGAATTACCTTTACTTACCTTTTATGAAACAGTTTTGACAAATTTTAGTCTTTCTCAGATGTGAAAACAAGGGAAGGGAGCTACAACAGAAGCGATTTGGGCTAGACCTCTCCTCCATCCCCCGTAATGCTGAACAGGACCTAAATTTATTCACCTTCTTCTACACTGGAAGAGGAGCTTACACAGGGAGCCATCAACAACACATTTATGTTTCACACACTAAATGTGCTACTTTGCTCCTAACTTTTCCATCTAAAAAGGGGCTTCAGAAGTGAATGCAAAAAGATCAATATTTTACGTATTTGTGAGCTGACATGGCCTGGTATTGGCCATTTTGAATTGGACAACTATGGCTGACTATGCTGGGAATGATAAGTTCAAGAGGAATGACATGATAGTTATCTTCAAAAAGAACATTTGAAGATCTTGACATACAATGTTGTCTTGATAGATATTTATATGCTGACAAGGAAGTTCAGTTAATAACACACTCTTCACAGTGTTTATAATTAGTTATGATTCATACAGTTGAATGCCTTTACACAGTCAGAAATACATTCAAGTTTGTGGACCAACCACTAATTCCAGTGATGAAGAATTAGAAGCATTCTACCAACTTCTCAGTCTGCTATTGATCAATCATATAATCAAGATGTATTGATAATAACTGACAATTAGAATGTAAAAGTTAGAAACAAGAAGAATCAGTAGTTGAATAATATGGCCTTATCATCAGAACAAAAAATCTTACCATAGTGAATGATGGAGGGAGTGCGGAGTGGAGACCCAAAGCCCATTAGTAGGCCACTGGACATCCCCTTGCAGAGGGGTCTCGGGGAGGAGACGAGCCAGTCAGGGTGCGATGTAACAACGAGGAAAAATACAACTTTCCTCTAGTTCCTAAATGTTTCCTCCCGCTCCCATTATCATGACTCGAATTCTACCTTGCAAGTCTGGCTAGACCAGAGGATGTACACTGGTACAGATAGGAACTGGAAATACAGGGAATCCAGGGCAGATGATCCCTACAGGACCAGTGGTGTGAGTGGCGAAACAGGGAGGGTAGAGGGAGAATGAGTTGGAAAGAGGGAACTGATTACAAGGAACTATATGTGACCTCCTCCCTGGGGGATGGACAACTGAAAAGTGGGTGAAGGGAGACATCGGACAAGGCAAGATATGACAAAATAACAATTTATAAACTATCAAGGGCTCATGAGGGAGGGGAGAGTGGGGAGGGAGAGGAAAATGAGGACCTAATGCCGGGGGCTTGAGTGGAGAGGAAACGTTTTGAGAATGATGTACAAATGCGCTTTACACAATTGATGTGTGTATGGATTGTGATAAGAGTTGTATGAGCCCCTAATAAAATGATAAAACAAAAAACAGAATGAAGATACTGCTCTAAAACAGATTCTGGTGATGACTGTACAACTCTTCTTGATGTGATTGAACTATTGAATTGTATTATATGTGATTTATATACCAATAAAACTGTTGGGGAAAAAAAGAAAAGAAAAATATGGCCTTAGTGATAGAAACAAAGCTTGGGATCACATGACAGAATTTAAGAAGACCTTCATGGGGAAGGGGGGGGGAGGGGGAAAATGAGCAAATGATATTAAGGGCTAAAGTGGAAAGCAGATGTTTTGAGATTGATGAGGGCAACAAATGTACACATGTGCTTGACACAATGGATGCATGTATGGACTGTGATGGGAATTGTACGAGCCCTCAATTAAATAATTTAAAAAAAAGAATTTAAAAAGACTTGATATTTTCTTTTTTTTAATCATTTTATCAGGGGCTCATATGATTCTTATCACAATCCATACATACATCAATTGTGTAAAGCACATTTGAACATTCATTGCCATCATCTTTCTCAAAACATTTGCTCTCCACTTAAGCCCCTGGCATCAACACCTCATTTTTTCCCCTCCCTCCACGACTCGATATTTTCATTGGAAATATCTTTTCTCAACAGCATGAAAACAGTAGTAACCTGCTGATATCTGATGACTCTTAGCTGATAGCAGAGAATACCAAAGATGTCTACTTGTGTCTCTCTGACTATACAAAGGCATTCAACCGTGTAGATCACATAACTAATTCAGAGAGAGCACCGTGAAGAATGTGCCAATGTGGAATTGTACATACACTAAGACACAATCATTTAGACAAAACAAGGTAATACTGTAGGGATTACAATCAAGAAAGGTGTGTGTGTGTGTGCCAGGTTTGTATTTTTCTGCCATACGCAATTAATCTGCATCCTGAGCAACTAACCCAAGAAGTTGGGACCAATATGAAGAAAATCATGACATCAGGCTTGGAGGAAGCCTTCTTAACAACCTGTGATATGAAGATAACATAATATACTTGCTGAAAGTGAAGAAGACTTGAGACATTTATTGAGCAAGATCAAAGATTACATGCTCAGCATGCATTATACCAGAACATAAAGAAACCAAAATCTTCACAACTGCACCAATATCATGATAAATGGAGAAAAGACTGAAGCTGTCAGGGAATTCATTTAAATTGGCTCCAGAATCAATGGCCCTGGAAATTGCAATGAAGAAATTAAACAGTGTATTTATTACCTTAGGCAAAGCTGTATAAAAGGTCTCTTTAGAGTAATAAAAAGCAAAGCTGTCACTTTGAAGACTACGGTGGCTCTGGCTCAGGCCCTGTCATTGTCCATCACGTCATATACATGCAGAATCTAGTCAATGAATTATTGTATTACTCAATACTTTTGAATTATAATGTTGATGACGAATATTGAGTCTACCACACACTTCCAGAAGAACGAACAAATCAATGTTGGAAGAAGTACAACCAGAATGCACCTTACAAGTGAGGATGATGAGACATCACGTCATGTTAACTTTATCCATGGCATCAGGAGGGACCAGACCCTAGAGAAGATGTAATGCTTGGTAGAGAGACGGCAAAAAAGTGGAAGGCCCTCAAGGAGGTAGAGTGATACAGGAGCTGCAACCATGGCCTCAAAAACAGAAACGATTTTAAGGCTGGTACAGAGGATCAAGCAAGTTTTCAATCTGCTTGTCCAAAGGGTCGCTATGTTTCACAATTAACTCAATGGCAGCTAACAAGAAACGTCCACTACAGCACTATTCAAAATACCCAAAATGGAAACAAATCGAAGTGCCCATCCATGGATGAATACCATTATCCCAGTCATCGAGTCAATTCCCACTCAACAACTCTCCGTGGGGTACCTGAGGCTTCGCATCTTTTCACTGGAGCAGACAGCCTCATCTTTTCCCCAAGGAATGGCTTGTGGGTTAAACTGCCAACCTTGCAGTTAGCAGCGCAACACCTACCAACATTGCCAGCAGGGTTCAATAGATGGGTGGGTAATCAACCTGTGGTAATACACACAATGAATACTATTCAACTATACAGAAAAATCAGTTCCTGAAACAGCTTACAATGTGGATGAACCTGAAGGACATTAAGTTGAGCATAACAAAGTCAATCACAAAAATAAAGATAGCATGTTCTAACTTCTATAGAATGACACAAGTAAGTAAATATATAGACAATGTTCACTACTGGTTACAGATAAGGTGAGAGAAGAAGAGCTACTCCTAGCTAGTAATCACTTTTGTTTATAGAAAAAAGAAAGAGGGCACCTGAAAATGTGCTAGGTTTGACACTAACATATAAATAAAGAAAAGGTACAAATGTGCAAATGCTGATGTAAAGTTTTGCAACAATAGCAACAACAAAAAAGTAACAGATGCTGATTGTAATTAGGCATGAACAATTACCTCATGGGACAATATTCTAGGTTTACTCAGTATAATATAGTTCTTAAAGTTTATGTTTTTACCCATTATGGTGAGTAGTGTCTAGAGTTTTAAAAACTTCATCCATCCCTCTAAGAAACAACTGTTGATTTTCATTTTGTTGAACAAATCATAAAAAAGGAAACTCAAGAATAAGAGAATCATCAGGGTCACAAGAGATGAATCCTCATAGAAAGAGAGGAAAATGCAGAAAAGAACAAACTTTTTTGGTAAATTCAGACTTACAGGCACAATTGAGTCTTGAGGACTCTCTGAGTCTATCCTGAGATATTCTTTAAACTTTAAACTGAAATCACCCATGTGATCATCTTTTAGCTAAATAATACAAGGGTCACAAAATAAAGAATAGCACTTGTGAGTAATGAGCTCCTTGATAAATTTAATCTATGTGAAAAATCATCTAAATCAACTCTTTCTCAAAGTGGAGATCCCACCCTTGGGAAGCACTGGAATGACCCAGGGGGCCTGCAAGAACAGATACATTATTCTGGATTGTGGGCTACAGTACAAAATTTTATTTATTTATTTTTATTTTAAAAATCATTTTTATTGGACACTCTACAACTCTTATCACAATCCATACATACATCCATTCTGTCAAGCACATTTGTACATTTGTTGCCATCATCGTTTTCAAAACATTTCTTTCTACTTGAGCCCTTGGTATCAGTTCCTCTTGCCCCCCCCCTCCCCGCCCACTCTCCCTCACGAACCCTTGATAACTTATAAATTATTATTTTGTCATGTCTTACACTGTCCGATGTCTTCTTTCACCCACTTTTCTGTTGTTCGTCCTCCAGGGAGGGGGTTATATGTAGATCCTTGTGATCGGTTCCCCCTTTCTACTCCACATTCCCTCCACCCTCCCGATATCGCCACTCTCACCACTGGTCCTGAAGTGTTCATTTGTCTTGGATTCCCTGTGTTTCCAGCTCCTATCTGTTCCTATCCTCTGGCCTAGCTGGATTTGTAAGGTAGAACTGGGATCATGATAGTGGGGGGGAAGAAGCATTAAAGAACTAGATGAAAGTTGTATGTTTATCCTTGCTGCACTGCACCCTGACTGGCTCATCTCCTCCCCGAGACACTTCTGTAAGGGGATGTCCAGTTGCCTACAGATGGGATTTGGGTCCCCACTCTGCACTCCCCCTCATTCACAATAGTATTATTTTTTTGTTCTTTGATGCCTGATACCTGATCCCTTCTACACCTTGTGACTACACAGGCTGGTGTGCTTCTTCCATATGGACTTCATTGCTTCTTAGCTAGATGGCCGCTCGTTTACCTTCAAGCCTTTGAGACCTCAGACACTGTATCTTTTGATAGTCGGGCACCATCAGCTTTCTTCACCACATTTGCTTATGCACCTGCTTTGTCTTCAGCGCTTGTGTCGGGAAGGTGAGCATCATGGAATGCCAGCTTAATAGAACAAAGTATTCTTGCGTTGAGGGAGTACTTGAATAGAGTCCAATGTCCATCTGCTACCTTAATACTAAGCCTATAAATATATGCACATAGATCTATTTCTCCATCATCATATATAAATATATTTACATATGTACATGCCTGTATTTAGACCGCTATAAATGCCCTTTACCTCCTAGTTCTTTCCTCTATTTCCTTTTACTTTCCTCTTGTCCCACTATCACGTTCAGCCTTCATTAGGGTTTGAGTAATTCCTCTCAGTTATATTGCCCTTGATCAAGCCCTCCCAGGCTTCCTACACCCTCTTCACCAACGATTTTGGATCATTTGTTATTCCTTTGTCCCTGGGTTTGTTAACACCCACTTC